AACTATTCAAGTTAGTATACTGTTACTGGACATAAAACCCTATTTTACTACAACTTCAATGAGCCACTTCAGGGGGGTGGCCCACAAGAAGTCGGAAAAATCTTAAATAGAAGCATAGGTTGATATGCACATTAAATTAAAGTTCTTTATTAGTAGGATAAAATGCCGTAAATTTGAACTCAAAAGAACAACCGAGTCAAAATGGCAGCCGTTAAAAGATATCTTGAATCTTATTTGAATATTTGAACGACTGCAATTTTTTACTCTCTTTTGAGTTAAAATTTGTGGCATTGTATTCTACTAATTAAGACCTTTAATTTGATGTCTATATCGACTCATACATAAGTTTATGATTTTCTTCTGACTTCTAGGGGGTGCCTCAGAATAGTCTGTGTATAATAAGCATTGCAAATTCAACGAATCTTTGAATAGCTGCCATTTTTGACTCGGTTGTCCGTTTGAGTTCGGGTTTTCAGCATTTTTTTTACTAACAAAAACTTTAACTTCATGTACTTAACAACCTATGCTTCTATTTAAGATTTTCTTCCGACTCCTTTTGGGCCGACCCTTGAAGTGGTAGCAGATCATTAAAGTTTGATTAAAATAGAGTTTTATGCCCAGTGAAAGTATACCATCTTGCATAGCTCCATCTGTAACTGTTAAAAATTAATAAGCTGTCCCGGAAATTTTCACCACCCCTGTATAGATGATAGCGCAGATATGCTAAATTGTTTAGGTTACGGTAGTGATTTCATTTTTACACTACAAAACAAGACTAAAGTATATATTTTTTCCGGAATAGTTTTTCATGTTACTTCAGGCTGGACTTAGGGGCTGCGACATTATCACTTACATAACATCCTTTGGTGATTTATGGGATATTAACCCGGAACCTCAGGGTCCAAATTCCTGCTCACTACCACTAGACCAGCACACCCCCAAGACTCTAGATTAAATATTTGCCGACTGTGATATTTCCTTGATTGTATAGTGAAGATAAATATTGCTTGACAATGAGTATATGATGTTATATTTTTTATATGTAGTACTACGTTATATCTTGTGAATTTTATTTTAATTGATTTTCCACTTTCCGCGTGTATTTTTAGAACCACAGTGAAAAATACTGAACGTCCAATAGTAATGTCTTACATTAGAGAATATTATCACAGACATTAGATTGTCTGATGTTCACTTTCACTAAAGAAAATGCTGACATAAAATACATAACTGAAAGTCATTATTTGATTTTACAGTATTATTTTTTTTACTCTCTGAATCATAAGTAAGATACTTATAGCTAAGATTTATTGGACAACTATGAGTAATGTTTTGTATTTACTAAAAACCATATAATCCACCTCAAGTTAGTTATAAGATACAAATTTACTTACTGAAACACAATCTAGATTTTCTTACTTTGATGTTATGCTTACAACACATTGAAAGTTTAATTTACACAATTTGTGTTTTATTTATTTATTTATTTATTAAACATCATCACATTACATCAATTCTCTTGACAGGTGATTTGTCACAAAGTCTAATACTAATACTATACTACATTTTAAAATAAAATAGCTTACAAAAGAAATAAAGCATATAATAAGCTACAAACCTATGGGAGAAGCAATATCTTTCAAATATACTCATTTTCCAGATATTCCTCTAACGAGTAAAATGCCCTCTCCAAAAGGAAATTGTTCAAAGATAGTTTAAATTTAGAGAATGAGGCAATGTTTTTAATCCCAGCGGGTAATTTATTGTAAATTTTTGGTCCAATATACTGAGGGGATAAATGAAAGATTTTAAGCCTATGTTGAACTGGTTTTATAATATTTTTGAATCTTGTGTTATGTGGATGAGATTGTTGACAGTCCATGAATGTGTCGAAATCACTTTTATCCATTAATGCCAATTTGTAAATATAAGAGCTAAAAAAAGTTAAAATTTTAAAATTAATAAATAAATCTTTACAATGTGTTCTACGGGAGACTCTGGCCATTAATCTTACAGCTCTTTTTTGGAGAATAAATATTTTTTTGGCCTGGCTTGATGAGCCCCATACAGTAATTCCATAATTCATAATCGATGAAAAATATGCGTGATATACTACTATTTGTGTTTCTAGATTAGTAGTATCCCGAATTATTGTGAGAACAAATGTTGCTGAACGTAGTCTTTTTGATAGGTTTTTAATGTGTTTTTGCCAATTTAGTTGTGAATCGATTTCTATTCCCAAATAATTTATTGACTGTTGTGAATGAATTATTGTAGTTAAGTTTGTATTTACAATTATTTCTTGGTTAATATTGGATGCAGAAAACTGAATTAGTTGAGTTTTTGCCACATTCATGGACAGGCCATTTACTGCAAACCAATCCCCAAGGAGTTTAAATTCCTTAGTTATTGAGGCTTGAATTAACTCATTGTTTTGTCCTGTGCAAATTAAAGCTGTATCATCTGCGTATTGAAAGGTGGACATCTTAGTAGCATTGCATAGATCATTAACATAAATAATAAATAAACAAGGGCCGAGAATGGAGCCCTGAGGAACTCCATTGGGGTTAATGTTCCACTCTGATTTATAACTTCTCTGCATTTTTTGTAAAATAAGTCTTTGTTTTCGGGTCTTTAAATATGATATGAACCATTTTAATTAAGTATTTTTTATTCCATGCATACTTAATTTTTCTATGAGTATCTCATGATTCACACAGTCAAAAGCCTTGGATAGGTCACATAGCACACCCACAGTCTTCTGCGATCCATCCAAGGCTTCTGCAATGTAGTTAATCATTTTTGTTATGGACTTTTCAGTACCGAGTTCTGGGCGGAAACCAAACTGTGAAGGATTTATTAAATTATTGCTTTCTAAATATTCTGTTAGTTGAATCTTTACAATTTTTTCAAACATCTTTGAAAAACAAGGCAGAAGGGCGATGGGGCGGTAGTTAGAGGGATCGTTGACATCGCCCTCTTTGAACAGAGGTTTAATCTCAGCCAACTTTAGCTTATCAGGAAACCCCCCCCCCTCAAGGGACTGATTCACTATTTGGCATAATGGATGTTCTATAAATTTAAAAACTCCTTTAATGACAAAAAGAGGAATTTCATCCCAACCTGAGGACTTAGTGTTACTGAGAGATGTAACAACTTTTCTTAACTCGTCATTTGAAACATTTCTAAATTTAAATGTTAATTTGGAACGTGGATGATTTTCGATTTATATTATTTATATTATATTATTATATAATAATAATTATTATTATATTATTATATTATTTATTATTATTATTTATTATTAGTTATCGAGAAATATTATTTCCATATTTCTCTTGTAACCCGAATAAAGTAATTAAAGGGAATTTGAAAGGTAGAAATAAGTTTTAGGCCTGTTTTTATTCATATTTGTTGTCAAAGTAAACAACAAAGGGAAACATTCTATGCTTATTAACGTTACACTAATGAATGGAAAACAGGAACGTAACCAATGCCTAAAGGCCATGTTGTTTATAACAAGCAAATGTACCATTGTTTATAATTGGTAACCGAATATGACAAAACAGAATACGTCATTTGGAGATAGATACATTCGGACATGTGAAAACCAAAGTAATGACAAAACGGTTTTGATATTTCTATTGTGAAATGTAAAAGCGATATTGGGACGATGCCATCATTTGTACGATGTTTACAATGGGTATTGTTGTGAGCTTTGGATCCGAGTTTTACCATTGTCTGCAATATGTGGTTAAATACTTAGTGATCTTTGAATATCGATTTATATTCTGTATAATATTTTATCTTACATAGTATTACTATAACTATATGTTTCTTGGTATTAAGATAAAAAATTCTTCAACATTTTAGTTGTCGAATATGCTTATGTATTTATAGAAGACTAAAAAAGTGCCAAGTAAAAAAAAATATATCAACATTATTTAACAACAAAACAGTCTCACAGTAACCATAAAATAATTTGTAACACTTGCAGGTAATAGGAATATTAACTTACCCATTTAAGTTTTCGGGAAATAATTACTAAATATAATTTGAATATCCAGTAATTGAGAGTAATGGGATGTTTGACTTGCACAAACAAATACTCTTATAATAGTAGTTTTTACGATCGCAAATTGATTTTAATAGGAATTATGACAGGATTTTAGCAATGATTAGAAATAAATGCATTTCATTCATCTCTCAAAGGCCTGAACCGTTCATTAAAACATGAGTTAAAACTAATTAGTATTCCAATTATTCCCGCAGATTGCTTATTCACAGCTATAGTGTATGCATAAATAAAATACATATATATGAAAAACAAATATAACCTGAGTATATTCCAACCAATCTCTAAGCTCATATAGCATAGTTGTCTAAATAACAGAAACAATTTTGATCCACAGTTTTAGTTAACCACAGTGTATTCATAAGCAGCTTACATCTCAATGGTGAACACTGTAATGAAATATGGATTACAATTATTTCTGTCCTAGTTTCATGGACTGTATTTTCCCAAAAAGGAATTTCAGTGAAAACTCATAATAATATTTATAATACAGTAAATATTTTGATAATTTGTATATATTTTCACAAACTTATCATATCACCTAAACCATGGCTTAAATTATTGTAAGTTTTAAATTTACAGACATATAAAAGGTTTATTTTACTATCAAAGATTGCATCATAACACATTTACATTTACTGTGAAGTTAATTTGCAGTATTAAAACAATCTTACCTTGCGGTCCATAAAGCATATAAGACGCTTGCGTTTTTATAAATTGATATATTAATAAAGATTATGTAAATCAGCTCATTCTTGTTCGATCAATTATTACTCGTTAACAAAAATACTATTGTGTGCTGTATGCTTTACTTTATGTAAGTTTACTGGGTGAAATAAAACGTGAACAGTTGCAGCCTAAAAAACAGATTTTTAAATACAGTACAATCATTTAATTAAATTTAAAATAATAACAACACCAATATTTTATAATTTCTTATAGTGCCTTCCCCCAGCTATTCTGGCATCATAAAAATATATTTTTTATATTGGTGCAGTTCTTAATTTATTGAAACCAATGTTAACACTTCTTCTTGAAGATGAGCATCAAAATTAGGAAAAAGCATGCTATTAATATACATTATTTTAAATCATGTAAAACGAAAACTGTCAATGGTGCATGTGAAATTCAACACATTTAATGAATATTCAGCTGTATAAGTAGCAATGTGCGAGTGTATAACTTTATATTTTCGTAAGTTTGTAGTGTAAGGTAAAGCTTTGAACTAGTTTTATGCTCCAAGTTTCTCGTTTAGGTTGCCATCGGAACAGTTTTTGCCTCTAGGGTCCTGCTGAACTCCGGGATGATAAATTCTTATACTCCATAGATCCTGTAAGTGTAAAAATATAAGTAAAATTCAACCACATGAAAGTGTACAAGGTTATGTTTAATCCTTCTTTGATGTTTTACATTCTATATCGCCTTTTTTACAATTTTTATTAGATTAAAACTGCCATGACAATATTCACAGTTCAAAGAAACAAAATTCCAAAAACCTAAAACTAATAAAACACCAACAATGCTTGTTTTAATGTAGTTTCTTTTAGAGACTATTTCTTTATACTACTCTTAGAATTAGTTGTCATATGTATGCCTACTCTGTTTTCAATACGTTCCTGACTTAAAATCCATCTTGTAAATATAACAAATTTTCCTTTATTACAACTTAAAAATAAAACTCTAGAAATGTTTATATTATTTTCTGAGTGTCAATTGGACCTAACCTAAGATTAGTAACCCTGGGAAGGACAAGCTACATGTATATTATATTTAAATATACTTATATCTTTGTTTTTTTTAATTTATACTTTTGAATGTATAGCAAAATTTCAAGGTCGGGAACTATTACAGTACAAATATACAGGGTGAGTTTTAAATGAGTTACCCCCCTACTTTTTTCTACATTTCTTAAGATATCAACTCCGGACCACGTCAGATCATTGTAGAGTAGTAAGTACTTCATTTTGACTAAGTATAAATTTATAGCCGCCATCTTGGATCCGCCATATTGGATACAAATGTTTTTGTCCAAATGTAAAGGTAGGGTTGTGACCCATTGTTTTAAACTAAATTTTTATGCTGAATACGATGCTGCAATCCGTTTTTAAAAATCTTGATCCATTCTAAAGTTATGAGAACTTTTTATAACATTAGTTTTAGCCCATTTTTACATTGTGCATTTAGAAACTAAGAACATAGTCGCAAAATGGTGCTAGATAAAGATTTATTTATATTATGTGGTGTATACTTATCGTTATCTAGCACTATTTTGCGATTATGTTCTTAGTTTCTAAATGCACAATGTTAAAATGGGCTAAAAATAATGTTATAAAAAGTTCTCATAACTTTAGAATGGATCAAGATTTTTAAAAACGAATTGCAGCATCGTATTCAGCATAACAATCTAGTTTAAAACGATGGGCCACAACCCTACCTTTACATTTGAAAAAAAACTTTGTATCCAATATGGCGGATCCAAGATGGCGGCTATAAATTTATACCCAGTCAAAATGAAGTACTTACTACTCTACAATGATCTGACGTGGTCCGGAGTTGATATTTTAAGAAATGTAGAAAAAAGTAGGGGGGGACTCATTTAAAACTCTGTATAGCATGAATAACGTAGACCTACCCCATTCGTAGTATCAACAGTCTGTAGATATTTAGGTGTCAGTTTTGTCTTCGTAAGGTCCACACTGTATAACTTATCCGGCAGCTTTGGTCTGTAGCTAGCGAAGTACAGTGTGTCCCGGAACACGTCCAAAGCAAATATATCGTTCCATCTGAAAACCAAACTTAGAATAAACATGGTGGTTTCCATATTGCATGAACCATTTAGTTTTCTTAGGAGTAAGAAAGACGCTATCATATATTGACTGAAGTTTATTGAAGAAGTAATATTTTAATTTGTTAACCAGTTAAGACTTAGTTTGAATAGTTAGAAGACTTAAAGACATAGTTTTAGTAATGATTCTGAAAACATTCAAAAACACAATCATCACGATGCATTTATGTTCGTTTTATACATTCTACAGCATGGTTCACTTGACAAATAGATACATTTCGAATTTGATTACTTCTTCTAAAATGTTTCTCACAGAATAATTCAATGAGTATTTTACTTATTGTCCAGATATATTTACTTTTGATCTTTGGTTGATTTGTACACTAATAATGTACTATTTAATGTACTATGTTAAGTATTGCAACTTATTAAATTCTATTGTTTTCAACCGTTGTTTGAACTAAAAATTTTTTAATTGGTTGGCTTAGTTTTAAAACTCTGCATTCTCCCGTCCCAGAAGCCTTGGTTGCATGGAACGTATCCGAAAAACAAGGTTGTAAGCCGGTACAGTGAGGTGGACTGTACTGTCAAGTGATCGCTACTTCGGACCCGAAGTGCATTTTGGTCTTGCTTTGGTTTGCTTTTCATGCACTTTCTTAGCTTAATGTGCTCCAAAATATAATATAGGTATATGAGTGAGTAACCGAATGCTTATAACGCTCGCTTTCAAATCTGAAGGTCGCTGGTTCCATTCCTAGACTGTCAACATACATAGATGTAATTTGTCATTGGGCTACCAATTAACAATGCTTTCAAACAACAGGTCAACCTTGGATATTGCAAGACCAGGGTTTGGACCATTCCCTTACAAAAAACTTACAGTGGAGAGAAAAAAAATAAAAAATTCTAGAAAAATACTCTAAGACCTTAAAACGTATTCAAAATGCAAAAGGTGAACCGCATATGTGATTTTATGAAGGTTATCTCTAGATACTTAGATTGAAGTCATACTTGTAAGCCAGGGGATGGTCTCGACCTTCACCACCCTCATAGTTGCAGGATGCAATGTAAGGGGTGCCAGACAGTGGGTTTCCCTCCTTGCCACTATAGTAGACCCGGCGCTGTCGGAGGTCCAACGCCAGACACTTGACTCCTCTGGTGTCTTCTGCTGGGAGTTGTAAACGTGTCAGGTTGGCTCCATCCAGATCTGCTCGGAACACGGAGTGGTTGCTCACCAGAAACAGGTACCTGAAAGACACATTTGGCTAAATAATGTTGACACGTGGTACATGCCCACCAGGTGAGGTTATACCACGTAGAAATGGCGAGAAATTTTACTTGACTTAATCATCCGAAGGAGGACACATTCTTTCTAAATACTCGTGCATAAGAGTATGAAATACCTTGATACAGATACAATACACCTATTCCACAGATTTCAATACATAAGAGATTCACATTTACATTTTTTACACTGTTACCTATTTTACTCTATTAGCCTCTTGAGAAAGAGGCTAAGAATTGGAAATATTTGGAAAGATTGTATTTAAACAAATCTTTCCAATAAGTAAACATGCTTTAATGTGGTCTTTAGAGCATATTAAAATTACTTATTCAACTTTGATTAGCTTGTGAACTTTATTCAAAACTTTATTCTCACGTTGACCTCTTGTAAGATGCCACTGGCATAAAACGATCTACGAAACACTTTGGTTCTGATGTTTCGGCCTCGGTGTGTAGTGCCATCGTCGGGCTGACGTCACTTACGCACAGTTTACGTATCACGTGAACACAGTGACGCAAATCATGATACGTTAACTGTGAGGGTAACTCATAAAACAATTAAAAAACTACTAAGCAAATTTCTAATCCCCCAGTTTACTAGATATTGAAATTAAAATCACTTTGGTGTACAAAATATTTTGAGGTGGTAAATAACTATTCAGCGGCTGTTTGAAAATAACAAAATTAACATTGCTCTTATGGCAGGGAAATCCAAGATGGCCATTGGCTTCCATGGAAATACATTCAAAACATCAAACAAAATTTCTAATCTCACAGTATACTAGATATTTACATTATAATCACTTTGGTGTTTGAAAAACTACTTTTAGGTGATACTTAACTCTTCAACAGCTTGAAAATATTCAAAATGGCCGCCAGCCTCCATGGACTCTTAAGTCAGCCTGAAAATGTTCGTCAATTTTGACATGGTCGTCAACCGAAGACCACGTATCGATAATGACCGTAAAAGCCTATAAGCATCTAAAATATTTAACATAAGAACAGTTTACCGCGTGTTCTTTAATTTTTTTATTTTTTGAGAGCGTTTTATCTAAATCTATTAAAATTTTATAGATTAGTAACTATTTTTTTTTAATTTCACTTTTTAGTAAGATTTTTGAAATGTTTTCCTTCACTTAGACTTACCCCGCGTAGGGGTCCACTGCTAGGTTGTTGGGGAACGTGATGTTCTGGACGTTGTCAAACAGCAAGGTTCTGTTGGCGCCGTCTAGACTGGCCGACTCTACAGTCTGGTGTTTGTCTGACAGCCAGTACAGTCTGTCATGGACCCAGTCTACAGCCAGTCTGACAGGACCGTCGACTCCAGCTGATACAACGATTAACGGAGGTTTCACTCGAGTTAGACGACCAACTACCTCGTCCCTGAATATTGTGAATACTTGAATTAGCTCTTCGTTCTCTTTCGTGACAGAAAAATTTAATTATATCTAAAGTCGTAAATTCTGCTTCGTTATGCTATAAATAACCTCTAATTCAAGAGATAAGTTTTATCAAAAACATTATTTTTACTAAAAATAATTTATGAAAGGAAACTATATGTTGTAGCTTCCCTGCAGTACTGTATTCAAGTACCTCACCCTCAAAGTAAGTAATACAACTATATCACACAATACAACCATCACTGAACAATATGAATTGGTTGTCTAATTTGTTTACAGTTTTTTATTTCCATGTTGTTCCTTTCCATTGTAATTGTTAACATTTTTATAACAAAAACTGTTTCACAAAATACTCGTCAAATAAATCATCAAAAATAAATCTTAACCCTTTATTCAGATAATGGTCAGAATTTCTTTATTAATTTTTACCTAAATTAATCTGTCAAGTTATGAATAAATACATATTTAGTATTTACCTAAATATGACATTCATAGCAGTGAAGAACACCATTCTCTTCGCGTAGTGGTAGTCTACACTATATGTTTTTGACTGTGTGTAGTTAAAATACAAGATTGATTTAGAGCGAGCCAAGTCAGTTACTGAAATCCCATTTGTTTCTCCTCTAAGTAGTTTAATGGAAAATGGATCTGAAAATAAAAATTTTGTACTGATATTACAATCTAAGAGCAACAAAAAACTATGTTTTTCTATTAGCTAGTAATTTGTTTTACTTTCTAACTGTACTATGTCAAGTTTTAATAGTTATCTCATTTAAAAAAGTACAATAGAAGCCTAATTCTTAGTAATTATTGAGTAAAAAATATATTGTTAAACATATAAATAAAAAATAAACAAAATTAATAACTAAATCTAGTTAATAACCAAACCTTTTTGATTGTGAAATTTCTGCTTCGTCGTTGATTGATAATTTTTGGAAACAAATACTTTCAACAGTCCTCAGTTATCTTATTGAATAAAACAGTTAGTTGATTCATCTGATTAACATTTTAATTTTCAGATAATTTACTGTATAATATATTCTTCATTCAATACGGTATTAATAGTTTCTTGTGTCTTGGAGAGTACGGTTCGCTTTCAGAGTGAGTATTCTTATTTTAATTTCATTGTGCTTTTATTTATTTTCGAAAATGTAATTTTAACTTACCTTAATACTATACCTTAATAATATTACCTTAATATTATTGAAAACAAAATGTTAATTGAAAATTGATAATGGAGAAAAAGGCATAATATGGAGATAAGGAATATGTACACTGTACAGTGTAATGATAGTGATTTAGTAGCACACGCGAAAGCAAGAAGAATAAGGTGGGCAGGACACGCACTACGGAGAGAACGGGGTCCACTTTTAAAAGAAGTAAGCTTAGGAAAGCTACAAATGAAAGACCATTGGGAAGGCACAAGAAGAGATGGTGGGATAGTGTCTCCAAGGACGTCAGAGAAGTGTATGGCGGGACTGAGCGTTGGGGAATCTTGTGAGGAAACTTTCAAAAATCTCGAGATTCTTACCGATCCTTACATAATCATTTACCGAGTTTTTATATTTCAAAGGCAATATCTTTAAAACAACAAATGAACAATTTCACTCATATGACACTAGAGGTAAAAGTAACATCCATAGCATAGGCATGACATAAGGCGACAAGCATTGGCAAGTCTTTTTTGCTCCAAAACTTTGGAACCACCTACCAAACAAATTTCAAAATTGTCATCTTAATTTTTTTTAAGAAGTTGAAGAAAGTTTTAATTAAGCTCTGTTTGTTCACAATAGATGAATTTTGGCTAGTGACTAAAGATGAATTTAATTTCCTAATTATAGAATGTTAGAATATATTATAGGGTGAAGAAGTTAAATTGTGATAAATTATGTGTACATTTAGGTTTAGGGTTAGTTGACTAGTTGGAATATAATAATGTACCACATTATGTATACTAACAATAAAGTTCTAGTATCTTGTATCTTGGAAGTGGGGGGAGCATTGGAAGAGGCATAAGATAAAGATCGAGAGCTAGCAGTTGTTGGTGTGGCCAATTCCCGCTTTGGGCATGAATGGCCATGAGAGGGAAATTGAGTGAGTGAGTGTTACCTTAATAATAAACGAGCTGTTGGCCCGTCCTACGTACGGGAATCGAGTAGTTCATTAAACCAAAACTGTATATAGTGTGCCTACTAATTCAAGCTTAGTTTAAGCAGATCAAAATTTATTTTTAAGAAAAATCTGCCAACATGAATTTAAACATGTAATCATTGTTATTTTCCCAACCTTTCCTTAAAACATTCGAGTAGTAAAATAATTTTCGCTTTCTTTTGAAGATTCGTGAGCTTTGATTCGAATACATCAAAGGTTATAGAATCTTACTTATATCTTTTAATCAATGTCAAAATCACAGAGTAAATAAACTAACCGATACTTCTATAGAATATTTTTTTATTCAACCAGCTTTTGGTTATAACAAATTATATTGCACTAAAACGAACTAAATATTTTAAAGACTGTTCAAAAAACAAATGAGAACATCCTAGTATTTTACTTTGTATATTTAAATAACCTCTAATCCTCTTACCGAATAAATAATACGTATAATATAAAAAGTGTATAATACGTATCAATGATTATAGCATTACACATAGTATGAATACGTCAACCCTACGTATGAAATTTCATTTTTATCCAAATGCTGATTTTGTGTCACAAACACTGAATTTTTACAGCTGTTACGTTAAGCAAATGGTATTATACCAAAAAGCTTGTCTAGAATGCTAGCGTCGGCTGCTAGAGTTTTTAAAATTAAAAGTTAATTAAAAAAAAACTAACTGAAACCCTAAACTAAAATTATGAAACCCTTCAACATTCCAATTCACGTTTTAATATATATGATAAAACTGGAAACATGACAAATGCCGCCAAACCAAACCAGGTAATGATTCTCCTTCAACTAGAAGTTTGACTTGTATTCTTTTTTATTATATACTACAAAGCTTCAATTCGTACTACCTTTTAACAATACTTACCGATTATTGTGTGTGAAGTCGGTCTAGTCGAATTGATGTGTTCCTTTGGCTTAGTTTCCTTGGGTTCCCCAGCAGTTACTACGATGTCAGTGGCATTGCCTTCTACAGGCTTTGCTGAAGTGGAATCTGCTCTGGAAGCTCTCGAGTTGGATACAGAATTAATAGGAATCAATTGAATGTCTGTGCTTTTCATATCCAAAGGGATAGTGGCATCCTGATATTCCGATATCTCCAGCAAAGCTTCTTTCTCTTTCGAAAAAGCTCCACAAAGAACTGTGTAACAAGTTGTGTAGTGAGGAGATACATAAATAATATAGATAATGTGGTTTTTAAATCTTTATACTTTGAACCTTTTCAAATGTTTTTTTTTCCTAGTTGGGTTAGCAAGATACGATTTTCAGATTAATTTGTGGCTATTTTATCGACTGACGTAATACAAATCCAAAAAAAAAACTAATCAATCTTTATCGTACAATAGTGAAACAGTAGCAGCATTGTAATATAGAAATATAATAAAAATTATTACATGGGCTTGTGCCTGTGCGTGATAAGAGTTTTCACTGAAATAATACACTGAATAATACGACCAAGAATTTGTTTTAATACAAAAACTTAGAGATTGTATGAACAGCTAACTCGTTCATACACTAAATCTGTTCAGTGATTAAACATGTTTTAATGCATTACATTTTCAATTACTTCATACAAATTTATAAAGGCTAACATAGATGGCATGTTTAATTTATCCAATAATACTTCAAATGAATTGATTTTGCTCCAAACTAATATATTGCTCCCAAAAAATTACATTTTTACGTTCTGAGTTTTACGTAACTGAGGTTAAAGTCCCCACCTAACAATCACAGTTTTCCACATAGATCCTAAAAGAAGTCAGGTGCTTTTTGATGGTTCAATACAGGACCGAGCTGTCCCTGATAATTAGGATTTAAATCAATTATCCTGACTGAAGAATCAGCTGATCTTAGTCAGTAAAAAAGCTACACAGCTCAGCTCACTCCCATCTACACTCATCCTTCACTCTTATTTGGGTTAGACTCACTTAGGTGGCGTCCCCAACAATTGTAATGATAATAAACTATTACATATAAAAACTTATGTTAACTATGCTACCCATCAAACAAGGAGAAGCTACAAACATATGTATATTTATGAAAGCTAATTATACAAACCACCATGTAGCAGGAGACTTAAGCAGTCACTAAAGAAGAAACAACAATGAACAAATTGTTATCAATTTCATTTTTCACGCAGCTGTTTGACCCCTACATTTATACGGTCCACTAAGCTACAAATCGATACAGCTAAACTCACCTGACAGAAGCACACAGATGGTAGTTTTATAGTTCCGCATGTTGGCTGAGTGCACACTGCACAACACTGCACCAACACAAAGTGCCACTTTGACGGCCAACGCGCTTTAGCTGGCTAATCAATAGATAAATTGTTAAACGGGGTGATAGTAAAAAGCGTCAATGTTAGCTCCTGAATCAGCGTTTGTTTATCTTTTAAGTGGTAACTAATGATTTGTTGACTGTTTCGATTTCTGTATTGTGTATAGATGATGAAATTCTAAGTGAATCATTTTTGTTTTGATTGGGCGGAACTATTGAAAAATAACCGGAGGACTATTTTTCTAGGAAAAGAATAAATGTCCATGATCTTGGGTTTATATTCCATTTTTATTTTTTATGTACCACATTTTTATCCTAGGCCGCTCTAGGTCTAGTCTATTTCATGCTAGTTCTACAGGGTTGCAGCATTATCACATGGCTAAAATCTATTGATGATTGGTGGTATTTGAACCTGATCTACACCAGATAACACATTCTACCACCAGATCAGCTTACTCCTAGAGTTAAGTACTGATATTTTCTTAATAGTATTGACAGAACATTTTATATTATTGTCTAGACAGTTGTTAATAAGTCACTCGTAGACATCAATATTGACTCCCTATAAATTATAATCGTATTGATTTTTTACTGATTATCTCTTCCATACGTCCATTCTGATTATACCTTTTAGACCTTTACTTCATTCAATAAGCAACATAGTCGAAAGGAAAGGCGACAACTGCTCCTTGGCAAGTCCTTGCTCCTAGCTTCTCCATAGGGATAAGATCATGTTTTATTCACAGCATCTAAAGAAAAGAAAGGGTGTACATGAATTATTAATTTTACGAGGGAACACATTTAAACGAAAAAATCACTAAATAATAATACACGGAACCACTCCAAAACTTAATTAGTACTATTGATAGTTTGTGTTATTATTTCAGTAATTATATATACAGATAACTTTGTAAATAAAATCCTGCAAATAAGCTGACAAGGTGGTTTCAAGTTTTCAAGTGTGAACTTCAATTCTAAGAAATTGCTATTTATTCAAAATTTGTAATTAAGAAAAAGTCAGGAATAAGCCCTTCTAAAATTCTATTAAACGTGTACTTTACCTAGCCTTCCCCTAGATCCACTAGTTTATTGAAAGACATCCTGAGCCTTAAAATTGTATAAAAACACAAAATATCCTTACGTATTTTACAATGTTTGAGTCAATATTGTGATACTGCAAGAAATCCAAGAAATCACTACATTAGGATATTGTCATTTATGAACATTAGACTTAGAATTTTATCAATTTAACATAGTACCTCTAAATATTATCATCAGGTAGACTTTTATCTAACATTATGTTATATAAGACATAACGTTTTTTTTTAGTTCAACCAGGCTAAATAAACTAATTTCAACTATATGCTTAAACTTTATTTTAACACATTTTGCACTAAAATGTTGATTGTATTTTATAAATAATCTAACGCATGCTGTTAATTAAAACATGTTAAGTACAAACGATGGCTCGATATAACCTCCACGAGCCACGTCGACAACAAAGCCACATGAACAACAAAGACACATGAAGCATAACCAGAATACTAAACTGTTCCCTATCGATCCACATGTGGCCGCTTTACGTTAGTCCTCTCTGTTTTTTTGGTTCTTTTAGGGGAATTTGTTATTAAAAAATCTTATTTAAAAAATTACAATAAGTTTTAGTATCCCATATATGGAATAAATAATAGTTCAGGTTCCTTTGTATCCACAGCAGTTTTGAAAAGTAAGTGACCTTTATAAAAATGGAGCTTTTGAAAGGACTGTCGCTTTGAGAAGTGTGAAGCTTTTTAAAAAGCCTCTAGCTTTTGAAAATCCAGTAGCTTTTAAAAAGCCAATAGCTCTTAAAACTGCGATTGTTTGAAGCTGGACCCACCTGTCATTGATTTTTAGCCTTCTAATATAGGACCCTGAATAAATACCCTGAAATAAAGTATTGATGAGCTGATCTCAGTCAGTATGAAAGCTGCACAATGCATTTCATCATGCAATCATATTTGGATTAAGATATGCCCAGCTGCGTCCGCATTTCTAATGGTAATATATTTTGTCGAATCGTGTACTATTATATAGTCACTAGCATATTCTGTGACTGGCTCACACAACTAAGTTCTCTTTTAACAAAAAAAATGGCTACAGCTGGTCCATATAGATGGGATGTATACTTCAGTATCTAATAGTCAATGATTATACCTCAAACAAGGCCAGATTGTAAGATAGAGTTTTGTAACGAATGAAAGCCATCACTAGTGTGCAACTGTCTAGTGTTTTGGCATTCAATAATTTAAATTGTTCTTAAAGATACTAGTTGTTGTTCTACCCGTACTTCAAAACGGGGCAAGAATATTTAAGTCTGTAAATCTATTGTAAAATAATAGTCATACACACTTACTATGCAAATTACACAGGCAAATCCCAATCCTACTAATTGCTAATTTTAATGAAAGTCCTTTGGGTATGTGTATTAAACTATGTGTCAGAATCCAAACTAATAAACAACTCGTAATGGAAACATCTATAATACAAAATCCAAAGATAAACTGAAAGAGAAAGTATACAAACGACAAATGAAAACAAATCTAACAGCTGAATCATTACATTCTCAATATTTGAGATGTGATTACAGTCCTTTAATAAAGTTTTGTGCCCTTAGGAGAGTGTTTATAGTAAAACTGTTTTGGGGAAGTTTTACATCATGACCTTTCATTCAAATATACTGTTAATAGGTGTGCGGCGTATGGTTTTCCCAAAGTTAGTGATCCTTATTATCTTTATAGATTTAACTAGATGTGTAATTGTTTAGATTACTGTATTACATTAAAACATATTATCAACTAATTGTGCTGAGTAATTTTAAGGATTGGGTTAAGGACCCTTATACTATTGACTGATTTATAATAAAATTAATCATCCGCATTTGAATGAAAATGTACCAAAGAGTAAAAACATAAAACTAATTATCTGTACAAGGTATTGAGGATTATTAATAATAAAACATTTATAAAAACCCTTCAGTATTACAAAATTATATTTACAGTTTGTAATACTGCTGTTAGATAGGACTGTTTTGGGGTTAAAAAGTCACTATAAAATTTCTGAGTGGTATTTTGTTGAGATGAAGGAAAGACATTTAAAGAGTATTTTGTACTATACGGGGGTAAAAACATAAGTTTTTTTTTTGCTAATAAAAAGCTCAAAAATTCCCTGTTACTCTTAAAGAAATATCATGGTTTTTATAAATTTTTCAGTTGTATTGCCTAAATGACTTAAAAGTACCTTATATAGTTACAAACGTTCCCATATGCTGTTTTCACAAACAGCCCTGTTTCGACTATTAAATCACATACCACTTAGATTCGTGGTTATATTGAGAATATTCAATATTTTCAACAACACCTGCAGAAAGAAATAAATCCGAGAAATATATGATTGATCGCGTTCTATATATTACGTGCCTGGTTTTATAAGCTCTATTCAAACCAATATTATGCCCTTTTTATCCGAAAGAAAATGTAATAGAGTAATTGTTTCCTGATTTGTACTTCATAATTGGAATTACATACATCCAATAACATAGATTTGTTATACATTTCAGCTTATGGGTTAAAGTTAAAGGGTTGAAACTAATAAGTGATTATGGGAATTTTGCGCTAGTCCAGTCTTGCTATTGCCTGCCGCCAACTGCAGACTCTCGTGGTCTCTAGTATAGACTGGCTTATTTACTTGATTATTACCTGTTTGTTATTTATTATGATTCATTTTTTATTTCGTTTATTATTTATTATTTTTTCCGATTTTTATTATTTATTTTTTATTATTTTTTTATTTTTTACTATCTATTGTTTTTACGTTTTGTCCTAATTTATTTTTAGAAGTTCTAAGTCCTAAGTGAAAGGTTTGACTTGAAAACCCCTAATGCCAAGAAAGGCTCATATATTCTTGTAAACAAAGACTTATTACTGAAAGCTATATAAAGCTAATATAATAATTAGGTCACCCGTTCGGTCCCAAGAAAGTCACCTGAAATTACAAAAAGTACATCAAATAACAATATTGTAATAATATTTTCACACAAATACTGTTTACCTACAAGACGGAAAATACATATGAGATATGGTAAGTGGTGATTGATTTCGATTGGACACTCCAATCATCATCACGGAACCAGGCTCTGGGGACATTCTTCTGGTGTAAGTAAAATTCTAGTGTTGCAAAAGGAGGCTGTCAGGGTGCTGAGTGGAGCCCAGTACCTGGAACACTGCCGTCCTCTGTTCCAACAAAACCGCATCATGACTGTATATAATGTATATATCTTTCAATGTCTTTTAGAAATTAAGGCAAATGAAGTGCACCTTTTGAGAAACAACCAAGTACACAACTATGCCACAAGAAATTGTTTAAATGTTTTTGCACATAGACACAGGCTGAGCAGAACAATTAAATGCTTCCCTGTTTCAGGTTACAGATTTTTCAACCACCTACCAGTAGCCATAAGGGACTTGCCTATTTCAAGGTTCAAGGCAGTAATGAAGGACTGGTTGATAGAAAACCCTTTTTATGACCTGTCTGAATTTTATAAAGTAGGACTACCAGTTTTGTTATAGGTAATGCTCATGCACTGACTACCTTGCATGGCTATTTTCTTCCCTGTTTTATTTTTTTTGCATGGTTTTGCTACAGTTTTGTTTTGCATGGTTTTATTTGTTTCCTTATTATTATATTTATCTAACTTGCATTTATTTGTGAATCAAGAGACTATTTATTATTTACTTTGTATTGTAAGTGACTTAGCCTATTGCTTTTGCTTAGTGCCCAAATAAATCACTTTATTCTACACTCATCTTTCACTCAAATTTATGTAAAGTACGAACCTTTGTGGTGAACCCCATCTGAATATATAACGATAAAGGTTAACTCTATAATCTATTTAGTTATTTACTTATTCCTATTAAGCTATTGCAGATTATATACTGTATTTAATAACACGGAAATATTTTCTGTACAGAAG